AACTGATTTTAACGGTTCACACGCGAGCTCCTTTCGGTCTTGCAAACGTACTTTGCACTTGGTTGGCTTGAACATATATCATATATACACAGATTGATTCTTGACTTATGATCAAGTGCGATTTAAGTTACTCGTATGTTATTATAAGGTAAACCAATGTCGTCTGTGTACTTTGAATCGCGTAGTCTATTTCCGGGTGGCAGATTTACACAACCACACACCCTTTTGGAACCATCTGCAGAATTGTGTCAATAGCTAAACTAAAGAAAAGTGAACAAACCAGACATTCATTTACGATCTCGTTGATGCACCAAGTGACATTTTCTCACAGGATATATCTAATTATGTTCATAATTTATCTAATGTTTTCAGTAGTGTTGCTCATACTTTGCATAAAATAAGTGGGAATGCTTACCTATGCATATTGTTATACTTCAGCAATCTTTTTCTTCTCGTTCTATATTACTATCGGTATGTGTGGCGCATATTGTATGAAGGTTTGAAAAAAATGAAATATGCAAATGACAACATCGTGAAGATGAAATAGGATATTCATGGTAAAATGAATGTGTGGGCGTTTTTATCGTTGCAAAATGGTCCTTAGGTTATATCTAGTACACTAAATGTAATAATATTGATTGGCTACTCAAACTATAGTATCCGATGTAACATTATGGTTTGATAGTCGTAATACATAAATTCATGAGAGTGAAATTGAGATCACACTCATATTTTTATCTCAATATAAAAATGTGAATAATTAAAACATTATTCTTTTTACGTGATTATTAGCATGAGAAACAATAATAGTGGCGAAAATCTTGCTGATGATTGTATAACACGAAATAAGTGAACAGGCAAACCTAACCACTCTACATACAGTAGCATACAAGTGAGACATTTTGTTAACAAAGCCCTTCGATCTACATATCATATAGTTTGGTCATTTGATGATTGAGTTTTTAGGCCCCACTTGACCGAGAATATCTGAGTGGAAAGGAAGTAGAACAGTAGCATGTGGAATTCTAGCTGTTGAAACATAATGCGGAAATCAAAACTTTGTACCTGGATTCATGCCATTTTTACTCAAAACAGTAGCCATTTACCGAATACAGCCAATTTTTTCACTTAACGTGACTGTATCACCAAAATTTGTGGCAAGTGTCAGGTTTTACTGCTAGACTAACAAAGCATACCCATAACACAGAACTTCTGGGTAAATTTCATATTTTATAGAAATACCCATCTACGCTTCACTCTTATTCTTAATTTTCAACAGTAAGTCACTACTGCAGTTCTTCTCACTGCTTGCTGAGGAGAACAACAGTAAAAGGAATTATCACCAAGTAATTATTTACATATCACCTACTCAGTTTCAACACAAGATTATGTGCTGTGCATGGAGTGTAAAAGACTATCAGAAAGTATCGAAAAATCGTCAGACTTAAGCGATAGTATGAAAACGACAACCAGGCATAATGGTCTGACAGTCTAAGTTAACAGTTTAGTAGTGTTCTTATGTCTTGATTTACATGGTTTGAGTCAAAGGACAGTTTGCTTTCATATTCCCAACAATATATGCTGAGTAACAACAAGAATGTTATTTGTATGATCTATAAGTTTTGAAAGTTGTTTTAGCATAAGAATTCAGAAACTATCCTCCTAATAATCGTGGAAATATTGTCTTTTGAAAGGACAAAGAAGCACACTGATAGTTCAGAAAGAATCTATTGTCAGTGTCAAAATTCAGTAAATCGGAATTACGATCATATATTAAGTTCATAAGTAACTAAATAATCTTCAAGTATTGGTTTCCAGTTCTTCCAATGGTTCTCTAACCAATGTTAGCTCGTGATCAATCCTGTAGCTAAATAATCGTCATTAAGTGAGCAACAAACTTTCCATAGCATTAGAAAATATAACTTCTGGAACCTTTAGTTATACTATTTTTACCTTATAACTTCTCTTCGAGATGCAATCTTATTATTTTTGTTATCCAAGAGAGTTACCTAAAGTAAATCACACCAGCCAACAATAAACACTATACTCTTTTTGCATTTGTTAGCATGAGAGCATTTGACTGAATAAGGCATTAAGAAGTTCCACTACTTTGGCACCAGTCTGTTGAATAAATACTCCCATTCTATCACTATATCCACGTGAATAGTTTTTATGCGAAAAAACGTACTTGTGTAGAAGTTGTGTTATACAGTAATGATGCCACTTTTCAAGTATATCATCTCTATGAAAGCAACTTGCTTCAATTACTTTAAATTACTTAATTTACTGGAATTTTTAACATGGAATATATTAACTAGTAAGTACACAGGACAGCGTTAGTGAAATGCAAGGACTATTGAAGTATATGTCGAATGGCAGTTCGATAAATTAAATGCCCTTTCCTGACAAAACAAATTGAAACAAATTACCAACATTGCGTAGCATTGTATATTTAAAGGTGACAATATTTGAGTCAAGGGAGACAATACCGTAACTTGCATAGCACAATTATAACAAATCATTCGAAAGTATTAATCGGATTAGCATAAACAATATTTTCTGATGATGTTAGTCAGCAGGACGCCCAACTGTAACTATTTTGCGGAAGTAACGCAGTCTCCATTGCAACTTAACTGTAATGGTTATATAATGAATGTTTCAGATGTGAATTTAATAGATGCATATCCTGCCAGTTCCTACGGTCGAAATAATCACTTGAATTTAGTCAGACGAACACTAGATAACAAGAAGTATCGGGAAGCACTACCCCAAATATAACTATCAAATTATTCTCCTGAAAAATGTCTAAATGTTATTACAAACTTTAAATGAAAGCGGTGTTAATTAGCTTTGCGCTAGTTTGGAAATATATCTTTAGCACTGGTCAACTGAGGACAAAGGTTTTGGTGAGTATAATAGAAACTTCGCATGGATTTGTTCACTAAGCTACATGTCATGTAAAGTATTCAGGAAACAAAGATGCCATCTGGCCAAGAGAGATGAAGTAGATTTAAACAGAATCACAGCTAGAACTCAGTTACCGAGAACAGATTTTTCATGCACCGCCTATAAGCTACTCATTGTGTGAGGGCTAATGATATTGCCTAGTTTCTTAGGCTGAAGTAGGTGGGGCGGAGTTCAAACGCGTGATCCATTGATTGAAATTGGAGTGCTTTAGTCAACTAATCACATCCCAGAAGATGCAGAATTTAACAGTTCACAGTCAATTGCTCATAGTACTGACCAGCGAGGTTACACTAAAATAAGCATTAAATAATTATTTAGAAAAGAGGTATCAATAATCACAAAAGCTAGCAATACTGCATCCTTATATATCAGCACAACGAAAACAAGCTAAAACATAAACTAAGTCGAGATACATGGCTATTAATTTAGGACATTTCAAATATGATAGTATCACTCATCTGCAAAATATTCACCAACTAGGTTGAAATATACAATATGGCTCACACTACTGAAGACTAAAAATCGTGAGCATGCGTTTGGCTGGAGAATATACCAAGTGATACGCTTCATGTTAACACACAAGGGAATTAGACGATATAAAGCAAAGAAAGCCTGAAAAGCAATGGAAAACTCGGGAAAGGCAAATTAAGTATATCGAGAAAGATACTCCAGGACCTCATGGTTTAGAGTTCTCAAACACTGATGTCATTTATCTTATGAAAACCTATCAGGGAGTCGAAAGGCAAACAAACAAAACATAAAATCATTTTCTAGATGCAACTGCCTCGAGTTATTTTCACTCGTGTCCTAATGTATATCATCACCATGTTCTTAAGGAATCCCTGTGATGAGTACTCATAAAAAAACAAGAATTGAGTAAGTGACCACACTTCTTCAGAGTTCATCTCCTTCCAGATTTCCATATATGTAGGGAGCTTGAAATCTCCGGAAAACCAGGCGAAAGTGAAAAATAACGAAGTAAGCATCTCATTCTCTTTGTCCTACTCCGAGAAAAATTTCTGAGTTTGCTATCAAAGTAGATCAGTTCAATGAAGTGTATTAAGAACGACAACCTAGTAAGCAGTGTTTGTGCAAAATAGCAATTGTTTGGCTGCTAACAAATTATTTAACATTTTCTATGAAAGCGAAAGGGTTGGTTTCGGAGTCATAACTCAGAGTTACCTAACACTATTCGGGCGTGTTCTAAAACTCCACTTATACAATAAACCATGAAGAAACCACACTTGCCTCCCCATTTCGCTTACGAATCACCATGCTTAGGGAATATAACCACATTATTCAATAAATGACAAAATACAATAGCCTAGTAAAACTCTTTCGTCCTAGAATACGAAGAAAGTTGAAATGTGAGCATTTATAAGACTGGTCGTTTTAACATATCGAAGTGCACAAAATTCAATTTCTTAGCTTGGACCAACTATTCTAAGGGTGAGTGCTTAGACTTAAACATTTGTCATCATAAGATGGTTGGAAAAATGAAACGAAGCTATCCGGCTTCAGTAAAATTGCACTGCATATGTTAGAAGCACGATGAGTGCACACTGATGATTAAGTGAACTACATAACGTTGTGTTTATATTACTTGAATGATTTGATACATGATTCAAAGTATTTGACCCCAATCGTATTCATAGTATTCATCGTTTGACGGAATTACCAAGTAAGCCATGAATATGTCCCGAGTGTTGCAAATACAAGTCACTGAACTTAGATAACTTCATTTCTTTAAGTGGTGAAGGCATATTCTGTTTATGTTTACCGACCACCTATATTGACCCACAGTATTAAGCTTTGAAAAGCCAGCAGTAGGTAGACAAAATCGACGAACTAAAGTCTCAGAATACTGGACATCAGTGTTAGGTGTCAGGAAACCGGTTGCTTCGCTAGCGTTAAACTACCATACGGGCCTCATGCTTGCAGATCAGTGTAAATTAATTTTTGCGTTACGTGAAAGTTTTAACTAACAATTCATAACAGTAAATAGTAGAATTCTAAAAATTACATAGACTTACTGGTCGGTGGGGAGTTTACTGCCAAGAGAGAGTGATTTCTGTTTAGACAAAACATCTTCAAAGCCATCCGAAGTCTGCTCTGGATAGAGAATCTCAAGATACTTATTCCGCACTTCCCTTTCACGACAGACTTGCTCGCCCGAAGACAAGTTTTGGAGATTAGCAGGACACGAGATAAAAGTGAGAAACTCTGGGTAATACTTCTGCTCGAGAAGATCTTTAATCACATTTTGAGCGGGATCGAACATGCATCGATCAGGCGGAAGTATCGAACCGTCCGAATTGAAGCTCTTTTTATACCCATCATGGTATGATGACAAACAGTCGTTGATGTTCTGCTTCAGTACGTAGGGCAAAGGAACTGCGTGTGACGCGCCTGACTTAATATATGTTCTGTAAATGACCTTCGCAACCTGAAAAAGCTTCTCGGGATTCGACAAGTCCACATTTGACCGGAAACCTTTGCAGGCAAACCAAAAGTCAAGAAGATGACTTGCAGAGTGTTGATATGACAGGAACTTATTGAAAAACTCCACACCATCCGAGTCATCAAGCAGACTATCGAGATTATTGCCCCAACGGCTCTGATTAAGGTTTCCAGGTGAATCCCGACTTTGAATCATAACATCCACACGCCAGTACTGTCTAGGCTACTCGAGTACCGAGCGTCTAAAGAGACAAGGTCACCAATCGATGTGATAAAACAATACATCTCTGTAGCATTTGACTTCATATTTCATTGTTATTTATTCTTTTATGATACATCATGCATACCGAATCGCAATATCATTTCATCAGTGAAATTACTGTCAGTTTCTTTATATATATCTGTATGTTGTTGTTTCAGATTCAGATTTATTTGTTGAGGATAGAAGGCTTGGAGCCTATGTTAATAGTAAATTTCTGTGCTTGTCCAAACCCTTTTGGAACGAATCAGTTGAGGTTGCACATCTGGGAGTCGGTTCCGAGAGTTTATGACTCGATGTGAGGACCAGTACTCAACAGCAATATGATTTCTTCTTGGCTTTTGAACTCTCCTGCAATATCCTCTAAGGTGTTCCGTCCTGGTGGGAAGGAAAAGAGAGAATAGGTCAGGTCCGTAGTCATTATTTAAAATTTTAAACATTTTGATTAAATCTCCTCTCTGCCTACGGTATGACAGGGAGAAGAGATTTAAACTGTCTAGTCTTTCTTCGTATGATAGATTAGTCATGCCATGAACCATATGTGTTGCCTCCCTTTGAACCCTTTCTAGAATGTGTGAGTCACCTTTAAGACAAGGACTGGCTGCCTGGATACAGTTTTCCAGTCTTGACTTCACCAGAGATGTATATAACGAGGTGAATAGCCCTTAAGGACCTGAAGCTACGTGCAGCCACCGTGCGACAGTGTGCTGTAGCCTTTAAGTCGTGGCTAACTATGACACCTAAGTCCAAGTGAGTCTGAACTGATGGAAGTGTTATCCCCTCTAGTTCGTAGGAGCTCGTGCTTGCTTGTTCAGTGCGCATGGTTGCACATTTTGCCACATTGATCAGGAGCATCCATTCTATGGACCACTCTGACAATTTGTTGAGGTCCTCTTGCAACGTGGACGTATCACTGTTGCCCTTCAGCTCTCCAAATTTTTAAGTTATCTGTGTATAGGACCACAGGGGAGTCGGTAAGCAGAGATGACTCACTGATATACAAAATAAATAGGAGAGGTCCGAGTACCGTGCCTTGTGGCACTCCGCTACGCACTGCTGTCCAAGAGGAGAGTTTCGAGTTAATCCTAACCGTCTGCCTCCTATCTATGAGGAATTTCCCTAGCCAGTTTAGTAATCCGCCTTTGATACCAAGACTTTCCAACTTCATGAGTAGTCTTTTGTGAGGTACTTCATCAAAGGCTTTGCTGAAGTCTATGAAGATGACGTCAGCGGGTCTTCTGTTGCCCAGCTTTCTTTTGCAGTGAGGGGATTTGACATGTATGATAGGTTTCTTCGGAAGCCGTGCTGTGCTCTTAATAACAAGCTGCTGTTTTCCAGATATGCCATGATGCTTTTCTTGATGATTCTCTCCAGCGTCTTAATTAAATTGCTGGTGAGACTGAAAGGCCTGTAATTTGAAGGCCTTTGTCTTGATCCTCCTTGTGGATGGGGGTTACTATGGCGTCTTTCCAGTCACGCGGTAACACTCCATTTAGGAGAGACAGCATGAAGATAGTGGTCATAGGGCCGGTTATGTGAGCTGATAGCTCCATGAGAAGCCTTAGGGAGGAAGATTATCAGGACACATTGATTTCCCTGCATTTAGTTTCATTAGGCAGTTGAGCACGATGCCTTATTCGATGTCAACGGAATCTATCCCGTATTCCTCTGATGCAGCCAGAGGTGATCCTATAGGTAGTGATGACTGCTGAGTGAAGACTTGGGAGAAGAAGCCTGCCACTGCCCCTGCTTTTTATCGATCTTCTTCGATTGTATCATCGTCAATAGTCAGGTTTGGGATACCATTAAATGTTTTATTCCTGAAGTTCATGTACGAGAAAATTGTCTTAGGTTGTGGCTTTGCATTTTGAGCCAGAAGTGCTTCGAACTTCATCCTAGATTGGCGGATTTCTGTAATAGAGTTATTCCTAGCAATGTTATATAATTTCACGGTCTCAGGAGTCTCAAGTGTAGCAAACAGGTTCCAACATTTGTGTTTACGTCTGAGCAACTTACGAATCTGCATTGAAGTTTTAGTAGCAATTTGGTTAAGTCGTGCAGTCGTGGAGACGTGCAGTTGAAGCCCTATGTTCCACTAGGAACCCAAGGGAACAATAAAATAATAACTTACGAATCACTCGGTTTATCCAAGGTGGCAATGTTTCCGACACTTTGGGACAGACCAAGCAATGAAAAGTTCAGTTACTTGGGCGTAAAGTTATTTAAATTGGTTAAATGTGGCTTATACTTGGGACCCTGGGTTGATGTACAAGTTTACTGAGATGTCAGCTGAGACGATCGCATTTATGTCAGATATCCAAACGCTTGCTCGAGATGGGTTTGGTCCTTGCTGCAGATGCCGTGAAATTGAAAGTGAGCAGAGCATCTATACACTTTCGTGGATGTCTATGCATCCGACAGAAACGATGTTAACCACATTCACCTACAGTATCCACTGTCCTTTCACATCGTAAACTACTCTAAGTAGTGTTTTCTACTCTACCTTAATGATTCAGATTTCATGATGTTTTCAGTCACATCCTAAACAAGTACTACGCTGCGGCAATGCCTCGTCCTGAAGGGAGTGGCGAGGAAGAACATTGTACTAATCTACTCGAGTTCATACAACGACATAAATGCCCACAGAGAACTGTCATCTGAAACGAGGACAACCAGTGACACCTGCCAAGGGTGCCGAATATCACCACTTTCATTCATTTTCGTCACAAATGTACTAATGTAATTCTGGTCGACTTCAATGTTTAATGGATTGACTTGTAACCAAGGAGTGCGTAAATAATATAGACGTGCTAAGTGAAGATACTGATAAAATACAATGTGTTCTGAAAAACTTGAACAAAATTCCAGATACGCTTGGTATGCACCTGTCAAATGTGAGGTGTTACCATAGTGCAAGACTCCACGAACCACAAATTCAATGACAGAGAGTGATATGATCTAATGAATTGACCATTCTACTTATCAAGGAAATTGCATCAGCCTTAAAGCATTAGGCGCTGATAGAACCTCAGCGTAGACACAGAAAGTTTATTTGTCATCTGTTAACGTGCGTCATCCTTAACGCAGGCATGGTACTCAGTTAGGTACAAAGTTTAAGTTTAAAGTGAGGAGAACAAGCCCATTCACAAAGTTATCAAAATAAATGCGAATTGAGGTAGAACTAGCTTACATTGCTAGAACAAGACATGGCCCCAATCCAAAAAATCACTGACTCCACTGTAATGATTGAACTAACTTAGTGGTACAGTCTCTCAATCCAGAATTTAAGTAATTTATATATTAAAAACCCACATAGGAAATATGGTCCACCACAATCCATACGTAAGCACAGCTGACGGTAGTCAAGGAGCGCAAAAACTAACGCTGGTTTCCTGACGGTCCAGTCACTAAGCCAAACACCAAATAAACTATTTTTGCTGACCATGTGAAGGCTACTGAATAGAGAGTAGTGCATCGAGCTACCAACTGAGACCATTTCGTTTGGTGTTAAATGACGCAACACACTATTTGCATCTAGACAATGTTTCGAGACTTACAAAAATGACGAAATCCTTGGAATTGAATACGGTGAGAATCAATGGACGAAAATATAACAGCCGAACTGATTTTTCCATAACTGTTTACTGAACAAATGGGCACACCTGATCTGGAAAAGAAAAAGCATTTGGTTGGAAATGTTTGCAATGTTAGCAGGCTTACTCGTCGCCGGAAGTGAAGAACAAGAAACGAATCTAGAACTATAACTACACTATGGTAACCCTATGTGAAGTAAATCCAGATTACAATATGGGTTCCGATACGTTGGCGCATCAGTTTAAATAATTACCTTCCACTAGGAGTCGGTATTCCTAAAAAGTTTTGGCAAATCACCACAAAATGTGTCACCAAAGTATCCGCTGATGTTTGATTTCCCGAAGGCGCTTTCAAGTCACAAATCAACTAAGAATGGTTTAGTATGAAACAGCATGAGGTATTCGTATTCAAAATGTTGCTCTACTTCTTAGTGGTTGTCAGTAGATCACTTATAAGAATGGAATTCAGACATTGTGGTGTGGAATAGTTCCAAATGAGAATAATTTTATCTCATAAAACTGATACAATATTGTTTGTTTACTGAAGATGTTTAGGGAACAATTTGCTGCCCATAGTCATATCAAGTAGACTACTTAAATTAGTGAGCAGCTATGCCTAAAATTTAAACTGATTAATGGGGGTGGAAACTACCTCTAAGCAATCTAAAGAATGGTCTTCTACGTCAAACAGCCAATACCATCGTTGATTTACTCAAATTTACAACGTAAAGCTTCTATAAAGTTCTAATCCATGCAGAAGTCTTAATTTGAGGTTAATTCGCTTCCGTTAAGTTAGGAACTAGAGTATTTCTGAATAGCCAGACCCGTTGTTTTATTACTGTCAGCGCGAAAACAGAGTGAATACTGACTAAAGCCTTTCCATTAGTTGCATGAATGCGAGAACCATACGATAAAATTACTGCGCTTATCCCAACCCTTTACAGCTTTCAAGTTAAACAGAATGCGTTGAATTACTTAGAGCATCAGTGAACTTTATACATATGCTAATTATGCTAAGCAATACATGGTACTTCCAAAAACTAACAATTTAAACTTAGTTCTACTTAAGTCTGTTTCACCATCTCAACTATATCATAGGCTTTACTATCATTTTGCGTTTAACTAAGTACGCTACTTCCTAAATCGTCAGCTATTTCACCACTAGTTGCCAGGAGTGAAAAACCACAAGTTTGTAAGAGAAAAAACGAAAGAGCTTACTTAAGCTGCCTCCCTCCAAAATGAATCAGCTGTCGAATCATAGCCTCTTCACTTAAAGAATGAAATCTGAAACCTGTAAGTTAAATTTTAAAATGAGCTACAAGCCAATCAAAAGATGATGTGATAAGTGCGTTTATATTGAAAAAGTTATATTTACAACTTTTTGATACAAGAACGAGTAAATTGTCATGCTTTCTGGACCAGCTTGCATTCAAG